TTATTAACGTGTTACAGAAGGAGGGCGTGTCAAAAACCACTTATTGTTACAATGTATATCCCTATTTTCCGTGACTTGAGGCTGTCATTAGCACGTTGGTTGTATTACTGTGGTACATAATATAATGATTCAGACACTCTTGACATCACAGCTTTTTGCGTCAAACACAGTTTACATTGAATCCTGAATCTTTAACATAACATCATGTTATGAGTCCCATGTAATAGAGGGTGAGCCTATTGCCATATACCAGGCATATTTCCTTTATTGTGTGTTATTTTCAATCTGGTAAAGTGATCACATTCATGCGGTTATGCAGCTCTCAAGCTCTGAGCCACCGAATAATCATACACATGTAGGTATACCTACATAATGTACCTACACTGCAGATGATAATAGTGTACCTTTAACTTATTCACTTAAATACTAGCTAATAAATAATGAATAATGACTTCTGGCAAATTGTATGCTTTTCAATTAGTCTTTATCCAGGGATATTCTACGGTAATGAATGTCGTCAGAATTGATTAAGTACCTAGTATAGAACTCCTCCCACGTAGATGATAGCGTGATAATATGTAGCCTATAATTTGACCCGACTTTTTAGTAAAATTCATGAAAATTTGAAGTAAATCCCGGACATACATACAGACAAACAAACAAAAATTCCAAAAACCATATATTAGGCTTCGGCATCGATAGTAAATCACGCCCCAAGTATTCTTTGGAAAATGTACAGTTTTGACTTTTCTACGATTTTAATTATTATATGTATAAAAAATTACACGCCTTAGACTACGTTAGATATTTTTATTACAAATAGGTTACATAATACCACAGATTATATTCATACTAGCTTTTACCCGCGGCTTCGCTCGCGTCTCAAAAGGATAAAAAGCCAATGTGACATATAAGAATACACACAGCGCCACCTATACCAATACTTTTGTTTTCCCTCGGGCATATCAAATTTTACCGGGATAAAAAGTACCCTATTATTTAATCCGGACTTCTAACTATAAACTATACTATAGCATTTTTTTTTTTTTTTTTAAGGGGGGAAAATCGTCGAATGACTGCTCCCGCCTGGGTGAGGCGGGAGGGAGTGTCAGACTCTTACTGACTAAAAACCACCCCGTTCCTTCTCCTGCACGTCGAGCCGGAGCCCCGGTTACCCGTTAGGTTCTCCGCGACTCCGAATCGGCATCGGCCCTATTGGGCCCCATCTGTGGTGGTCTGATGGCTCTTTGAGGCGCGCGCGGAACGCGACGCGCCGTACGCTCGGGTCTGTTTCTGGTCGGACGGGGAGCCACCCATGCTCGCCGTCCGCAGGCCCGCGCTTACGGTGGCCGGAGATCGTCCCGCGATCCCCGACGCCCGGTGTGTCCTTCGCGATGGCTGGGTTGCGAGGAGGCAGCGCTTCGCTGCCTCACGCGTCCCGCCTCCTCCTTAGCTAGCATGACTGCTTCGCAAAAGGAGGAGACGGCATCCCAATCCCCCTCGCTCCGCATCATGGCCTGCACTAGGCCCGGACGCGAGAGGTCGCCATCGCCGATCACTTCCCTGAGGACACGGCGGTGCTCAGCCCACGAAGGGCATTCTCCCACCGTGTGTTCCACCGTGTCCTCAGGGCGGTCCTCGCAGTGATGACACCCGGGCGTTTCCTCCCGCCCCATCAGACACAGGTACCTCCCGAAACTTCCATGTCCGGTGAGGACCTGCGTCAGGCGGTAGGTGAGGACGCCGTAGCGTCTCTCAAGCCACTCCTCAAAGAGGGGACTTACCGCTGCGATGGCAGCGAGCCCAGCCCTCGGTTGCGACAGTCGTTGCTGCCATTCCGCCATGAGATCGCGCCGGAGCTCATCCCGCCACGCACCTATCTGGCGCGGCAGCGGGGTTTCGCCCCGGCGACGTGCCTCCGCGCGCATGCTGTACACGCGCGCGAGCACCTTCGCCTCCAGATCCCACGGCGGTAATCCGGCAAGGAGGTTCGCCGACTCCCCAGAGATCGTGCGGTATCCGCGGATCATTCGGATCGCCATGACCCTCTGTGCCATGAGCAGCGTCCGAGCGGGACGCCGCAACAGGTTTGGCGCCCAAACAGGGGCGCCGTAGAGGGCCATGGACCGCACGACCCCGGCGTATAACCTCCGGCAGGAGGCGTTTGGCCCCCCGAGGTTGGGGAGGATGCGTTTAAACGCAGCCCCCGTCCTCGCCAACTTTGGAGCCAAACGTCGGAAGTGTTCAATGAAGTTCCACCGACTGTCGAGGACGAGTCCTAGGTACTTCATCGTCGTCTCGACGCCGATGGTAACTCCTCCCGCCGTTATTTGGGACCCACCCGGAGGTGGCGCGTTCCCGCGGCCATGAAAACACATGGCCTCGGACTTGTGGAGCGCCACCTCGAGTCCCAACTGCCGGATTCTCTCAACGACTGTCGCAACCGCTGTCGCCATTAAGTCGGCCGCCGCCTGGTGTGACCTCCCGTGCGCTAGCACCAGCGTATCGTCGGCGTAGCATATTGTGCTAACGCCGTTCGGGAGGTCGGTGCGCAGCACCCAGTCATAACCGATGTTCCACAGGAGCGGCCCCAGAACCGAACCCTGTGGAACACCGCGTGACATCTCTCGCCGGTTCCACTCGCCCCGGTGACCGGGGTAAATGACGGACCTGTCCGTCAGGTATGCCTCGATTACACGACGGAGGTAGGTAGGCACCCGATGATATCGGAGTGCCTCCAAGATGCAGCTCCAGGGCAGGGAGTTGAAGGCGTTGGCGATGTCCAGAGACACCGCCACTACGACCTTACCCCTGGACACTGCAGTCCCCGTCGTCCGGTCCCTAACGCGCATGATGGCGTCCACCGTGGAGCGCCCTCTGCGGAAGCCGAACTGGCCGTCCGACAGGTCCGGCCCAATATCCGTCAGGTGCGCGACGAGGCGGTTCGAAATGATTCTTTCGAAGACTTTCCCCACCTCGTCGAGCAGCACTATGGGCCGGTATGCGGACGGAGAATCCGCAGGGCGCCCCGTCTTTCGCACGAGGACCAGTTTCCCCGCTTTCCAGAGAAGCGGGAACTGGCCTCTCTCCAAGCATGCGCTGTAGAGACCGAAACTATACTATAGCATAGCTTGAAACGAGTTGAATTCCTCGTTAAATTATTACGTGAGTAAGCCGAAAACATAATTATTTAGTAGATATGTCTCACGAAAGTTATAATAAAAAAAAATAAACCGAATCAATTACGATTGAAAGTCTACAACAAATATCTAGTTGGTATACATATCAAAATTAGTTTATTTAAGACAGAAATTATCGTATAATTTTTTTTTACTTTTAGTTCTTTTACTATATTTATATTTTATCACCTTGTTTATGGCAAAGTAAAAGTGGTAAATTCGTTTATTTAAAATGGTGCTAAGGGGTCACCTGTTACCGCCTCATCGTGCTTACTTACCTATAACAATGGCGTGCTGCTTATAGTAGTAAAGTGCCTCCATCTATTGCCACTGTGCGCAGGTATCTACTTACACTATGTACACACGGCCAGACATCAATCTGTACAAAATCAGTTTATCCTAGTGTCGTAAGTCGAACACATAATACTTAATTTTTTTTCTTTTTTTTTTTTTCTTCTTTGGCAACCGAGTCTCCAATACGATGATGTCGACTATACTGCCAGTGTCGAGTGGTGACGGCACACATTGCTAGTGTACCTAGGTAGATTTTCTTTTTACTTTCTTTTAATTATTGATTTTATACAAACAAAGAAAGTATCACTTAATTAGGTAGTTACAATGTGAAGATCATTGTTAAAAATGGTAGGTATTTACTAGTCTATATTCATTTGATCATTGCATATTTTCAACAGTCAAACATACATACCTACATATTATATAGAGGTAAATACACCTAATGGCTCCATAGATTCCTGGGCCCAGGTGTTAACTAAATGAAATTAGCCTTATATGTAAGAGGATATAATATCAAGGCTTAACTGAGAAATTGGTGAAATTTGGCTTCCTAGAAACCAAGTTATCTGAATTATAGTAAAAGTTAGGTTATAGTATAACAGTGATTTTTTGTGTAATTTCTAAAATACTTTTGAATCACTCAATTAGCCACTGACGAATAACTGTTAAAATCGCCTCATTCTCCAAGACTTTTCTCCCAATAGGATTACTGCGACCAATCGCAATCATACAATTTATACAGCGATCTATGTCGTCGATATCCAATCGATAGGTGTAACAGTTGCCCAAAATAGAGAGTCAGGTAATTCAGAGTAGAAAGATCCGTCGAATAGTCCGTTATAATATGCAAAGCCGAGGTCGTATTAAAATAAGGAAAATACGTGCGCACTCAGAATGAAAGTAAACAAACAAGTACCTACATCTGTCAGTCATTGTCAATCAAACGCAAGCCGCCAACAAGGTTTGTCAGAAAAAAATACACTATTATCGGTTAAATCGATTTCACGAAATCTTAATGAATTGATATTCATATACCTACATTAGCTTCTACCCGCAACTTCGTACGCGCAATCAAGCGAGCAAGCGCTCTTGACAATAACAAACACAACAAAAAAAAGATCAGCCAAATATTCTCAGATTTTTGCGATTTATTAATAATCGATTATATAGTCTTACTATTTTAATTTAAGTTTTCTCGCTTCCTGGGTAGAATCCTGGTACCATATTTTGTAATTTTCTTTAGAAAAATATAACGGTTTTTTTGAGACATATTTCACGTAGTTAACTGCTGGGCCCAGAAGTGCCCCTCTCCTTTGGCAGAGTTGTTCAGATGCTGGTATAGAGTAACATATACGAAAACTGAACGGTTCTGGAAATATTACATAGGTACATACGAGTCGAGTTGATAACCTCCTTTTGTTGAAGTCGGTCAAAAATGACAAGCAAGTCGCCGCACGTCGCGCCGGCCCGCGCCGCCCCGCCCGCCGGCAATGCCGCCGGGGATGCGGCGGGTTGCGCGGGGTACCGACGCCATGACATTCATTCAGGCCTCAGCCTGTGGGTGGTTGTGTGTGCGTGCTATGCCCATTGGTTTAGTTTCGTTCGTATTTATAAAAACCGATATGTCATTTAAGTGGAATGATGAAACTGTGTTGCAACTTATTAATTATTTTCAAGATAATGAAATTTTGTGGAATATTAAACATGCAGATCACAAGAATAGAAGTAAAAGGACCGTCGCACTCAACAGCATTGCGATTTCATTTGGCATTGACAGAACTGAAGTAGAGAGAAAGTTAAAAAATGTAACGTCACATTATTTTCGTGAAAAGAAGAAAGTTGAAGAGTCTGCAACCGCAGCCGACGGACTTAGATACGAATCAAAGTGGTTTGCTTACAAACCATTGCAATTCTTACGAGGCAAAAATAAATCCCATGAAACACTAAATAGTGAAGTAAGTAAATGTTATTAATTCTTATTCTTACATACATCACACTATCATATTAATAAGTAGTAGGTATAAATATATTGTGAAATTTTTTTGTATGAATGTTTGTCCGTCAATCACGCTTAGGGTTGCCACCCGTACTTTATAATAAAGTATTGTACGTTATTTAAGGTAATTGTACTCTATACTTTATAAGAATAATAAAGTACACGAAAATACTTTATTTTTGCAAACTTCATTTCTATTAATCATGTATTTTTCGGTAAACTTATCGATTCGATATCGATATTTATCGATTTGTGTTGAATCGATTTCGTCACTCGCCAGCGCCACTTTGACAATTTCTAGTAAAAATGCAATTGTTGGTTAAAGATACTAATTGAATACAAACTGCAAAAAGCAATAAAATGTATTGTTAAATATAATAACTAAATAAGAATAAATTGTAGGTACTTTATTTTTGTACTATGTACTTTTTTTTCTTACCTGTAATCGTCAATGTACTTTAAATACCAAAAAAAAGGTGGCAACCCTGACACGCTGCAACTACTGAACGGATACCTACTACTATCCCGATTAAATGCTTCCATGGGATAAAACAGGAATCATATTCCACGCGGACGAAGTCGCGTGCTGCTGCAAGTAACATACACATATAACTAATAGGTAGGTAACTAATTCGAAAATTTTAGCTAACCCGGTCATGTTAAATCTAGATATTTATTTAGAATTATAAATTTACCTAAAACACTACTAGGGCTAGCACACACATGACACATAATGTACGCAACACAACACACCTTACGTGTAGAATACATATTACCTACACGGTTTAATTAAAGAGTATAGTTTAGTTAAATTTTCTTAATATTAAATATTCGCTAGCTTCTGCCAGCGGCTTCGCTCGCGTTCCCATGGAATAACGCCTATGTGTTATTGACCATAAACTACACCTGTTCCAAATTTCATACCGATCCCTTCAACCGGTTTGGCGAGATTGAGTAAGAGACACGTATACACTCCTCCATTGTCCCGTTAAAAGTCTAGGAGGAATACAATTTTATGCACCATAATAATTATGATAAAAGAAGACTAGACAAATACACCCGATCAGTAAAAACGGCATTCGAATAGGATCAGAGTGGCTAGCACGAAAACTATCGAGAAAGTATTCGTATCGACATCGAAAGCATTTTCTATGGGATTTGTACAGCGCCCCTACCGTGCGTAAAAGGAACTACACGGCGCAAGCACGAATGATTTTGACAACTATCGTATCGTAATCGTATCGTGTTGCTATCGAAACTTAGAACATATTGACACAAATTGGAAGCACGAACGATCTTTTGACAAACGGTAACGTAAATTTCGAAGGCTGGCTATCGAAAACTGTCAAAACATTTGTCACTTAGAATTTTCCGGTGAGAAAGGTTTCGAAACATTTTAAAATTAAGATTTTGTGACAATTATAAATTAAAATGAACTAAAACAAGTATTGTGCGTATGAAATGATTCATCAACATCAATGTTTTCGGGAAACATGGCAATAATGATGCAGAGAATGCCACTCGTTGTTAAGTTTGTCGTCGTGGATGGATAACCATTAACAATACTTTTGGACGATTGAAAAACCGATGGTGTTGTTTGTGCAAGGAACATACTCTACTATGCCACCGAAAATTGTGCTAATAGCAATAACAGCTTAATTGTGTTACAAATTTTTGCCATATATTTTGATATGCCCAAACCTCAAGCACTATAAACTTTTATATGCCTCATATACTTATCTTTCCTTGAACATGCATTATATAGGATAGGATAGATAGAGGAGATAACTTAGTACAAGTTAGCTATAACGCAATTTTGACTGTCCAATGTATAGAAATCCTTCACCGGGCTAGGTATTTAATGTTATCATAAATTACCTAGATCTTAATAAAGGAAACTTATATTTAAAGTGAATTGTGTAAACAGAATTTTCATTGCTTGAACTAGGTTTATGCAACTTTTGTTTCAAGTCATCACTTTATCATAAATCAGTATAATTTATATTCTGCAAATATTCTGTCAATATGTTACTAAGTATATTTCATAAGAGATAGACTGTATGTATTTAAAGACAAATTTTATTGTACAAAGAGATTCAAGAAAAAAATTAAATCTAGTACTATAATGTTGTACATGTTTAATTTGTTTCATTGTATTCCACATGAAGACACGTATAGGAGCACCATGTCAGCACCATTATATTTCATTATCTTTTCTCACACTTCCTAGCATCATCACTTGTTTATTATCAAGTTGCAAGAACAATTTCGTCAGTTCAAGTTTAGTCTTCTTTGCTGGTCTATTCATTCTCTAATGGAGTAGAAGTAGTTTGTGGGGTTGAAAAGCTGGCTTAGACAAACTCCTGGAATCCTGGAATAGGCATTACAATGCATATTAGGTCAAACACAATGAAGAGAAACTAATCAAAACAATAATAACCCGACTACGAAAAGCAATACCCTTATATTGTTTTTCGCGCGTATTTTATGTTGAAATTTTTACTTACGATACTTTCCATTAACTCCACCCTTATTTTGCATTAGAATTGAGTTCTTTTATATTAATTAAAATAGAAATCTTAATAAACGTATAAACAAACAATTAACTTGACATAATGGCATTTGACCTCTGTCAAACACGACGTTCGGAAATTGTAAAATATTTTATGAAATTACAAATTAACTAGTACCTCTTTTGGTTGTAGTAATACGATTATGTCACTTTACATAACCGTAAACTCCATTCTTGACCTTTTTTTGCTTAACCAATATATCTTAACAAAATATCAAAGCCTTAATCGTGCAGACAAAGGTAGAAAAATATTTTAAAAATGGTTTAGTTTTCAGACGTAATCATTATGCATTCAATTCGTTCACTTGGGTGCTTCTCTATTTTACATCAGCATGACGTCACTAACGAATTTGATTCGAGCTCTCGAAAGACGATACGATAGGCTTCGTGCTGCGACATTCCGTTTTCGTCACATGACGTTTCGACGTCTCGATACTATTACGTTACGAATGCGATAGTTATTCGTGCTAGGCACACAGTAGTTTTCACATACAAAAAACAATCTTATTCAAAATATACTTATATTTTAGATTACAGGATCACAAAAGAAAGATGAAACGTCTTGTTCCCGAAACAAAAGATGTAACCATGATGGAGACAGCGATATTAGTGAACTATTAAAAGTTTTAAAAGATAATATATCAGCGACAAAGCCTGTTCGCGATGATGCTTCACTTTTCGGAGATTACATAGCAAGCAAAATACGTAAAATGGATCCAACCACCACATCGACAGTAGAACATCTTATTCAAAATATTATTTATCAAGCTGAGCTAGGAAATTATTCTCACGGATCATCAACTCAAGTTTCGAACTCTCCCGAATGTTCAGGAAAGGTCGGATTCACTACTTCTTCAACAAATTTTGATGACAACGACGATAACAATATTTCAGATACAAAAGATTTTATTAAAGATGTTTAATATAATATACATAACATTTTTTATTTTATATTAACAACAAATTATTAAATGAAGACACACAACACTACTAATATACTTTTTTTGAGAAGGGAAAATCATGGAAGTGTACAGCCTAAATAAGATTAAATAGAATTATTGTTTTATTAGTAGTCTTTTATTTAGTCGCGGAGAACCTAACGCGTAACCGGGGCTCCGGCTCGACGTGCAGGAGAAAGAAGGAACGGGGTGGTTTTTAGTCAGTAAGAGTCTGACACTCCCTCCCGCCTCACCCAGGTGGGAGCAATAATTCGATGATTTTCCCCCCTTAAAAAAAACAGTCTTTTATTTAACACATAAAATAGGTACCTACCTTGCATAAACATAATAGTGGCTGGCGGCCTTATGAGTGCCGAAACCCCTGGTCACGGACATAGGAGGAAAACGAACATTGCGAGTAGAAATTTGGAAGTCTATGAGAATTTTCATCGCATATTACTTGAAACTTGAAATACATTTAGTTTTGTGGTAGAATCTCAAAATCGTAATTCTGTAGAAATGTACAATATCTTAAAAATTATTAACTGGAACACATAAAATATAGGATATGGAACGCGCGAAACACCTGTTCCATGACAAAACAAAATTCCAAGATTGCGCCTGACGCAAAATAGTGTTATCTCTTTTCCACTTCCAAAAATATCATATGGCTATCCTGCTGTCATATTGCGATTAATTTTTAATCTGTTATCAATTTTAATTTGTGTTGTATCTTGTCAATTTGTCATTTACATTGTCAGTTTGTCACTGTTTTCTTGTCTGAAAATTTGAAACAAATTACATATTACCTCAATATTTACCGTTTAGATTGCATTATAATTGCATTAAAAGCTACAATGTCAGCACAAAACTCGCCGGTAAAGGCGTCAAGATCACCTAGCGTCATTGAAACTGTGCAAGACTATGATAGTCAGGTATAGTTTTATTACTACGCCTACTTTTCTTTATTTAGGACAATTTACAAGTGTTTCCTTATATCTTTACAGGATACTTTGTTAAAACATGTGGACATATCGATAGTGGAGTCAGAGAAACGTGCGAATGGTACATTGCACGTCCGCGATCATTACACCGTGTATCTAATCGATCTGAAGTGAGTGAGACTATTCTATTGTTTTCTTAGTAAATTAGAAGTTCATTATGCATCAATTAGCCGCACTACTGACACTTACAACACTATCAATTATATCTAAGAGATTAAATTCTTGTAAAGTTCATTGTAATTTATTATACTTTCTATTTTTATTGTTTTCTGGATAAGAGAAAGTGATTATCATACTTGTGATTTATTATATATAGTTTCTTTTGACTTTCTTACAATTTTTTTTGCATGCATGTACATTACCTTTATACTTTAGATATGACCTAAATATTTTTTGTAATGATAGAGCAATTTTTTCTGTGCAGTTAAACTCTTTTAATTTATGAGTTGGTAATTAGTTTAGACTATTATATAAGTAAGAATATAAGGATATGTATGTGAGATTTAAAAACAAGTTGTATTATGTTCCAGAGTGACTGACCCAGACTACAAACTAGTGCAATCAAAGATCAGCACAATATGGAGAAGGTACACAGAGTTTGAGCAGATTCATGACTACCTACTGGTGACATACCCACATGTCATTATACCTCCACTGCCTGAAAAGAGGGTTAGTTAATTGATGTGAGAAATAAAGTTTTTAGAATGGCAAGAACTAAAAGCAGATTTTTTCCATATAATGTTTTATTCCATATAATTAATAAAAGATTATTGAGCATAATATCTTATTTAAATCTTCTTAAAATTCTTTATATCAGGAGAAAATTCTTTATATCAGGAGAAAACTCCTTGTATCAGTAGAAAGTTTATCCATGTCTACCCCCTAAATCTTCTTGTTGTTTTATCTCTTCTCTTATTTTCTCTCTTCCAGGTCTTGTATGCCTGGAGAAAATCTGACACCACAGACCCTGAGTTTGTGGAGAGGAGACGAGCTGGATTGGAGAATTTCTTGCTTCGAGTGGCATCACATCCTCGACTCTGCTTTGATGACCAGTTTATTAACTTTCTGCAACAGGAACATGGTTGGCGGGAAACAATTACTGACAGTGGTGGGTTTCGATGACATAACTTAAGGGGGACGCTCCAAGGCAGCCTGTAAAATTTTTGCAATTTACACCTCAATGCCTGATAGTATGATAAAAATATTTATTTGCGATAGTGAAATCTTATGTGTTTAGTGTTTACACAGTACTAATTGTTAAAAGGATTAACTGTAACCTAGAGAAGGTATCAAGTTTTAATATAAACTCGACTTTGTGTCGACTGAGTTCTCTGTTACAGTGTTATGTTCATGATTTGTTTGAGGAAATATGTAATAAATGATGAAATAGGTAATTTATAATTTACATTGGTTTCAGGGTACATTCTGCAAGCTGAAAATAAAATAAAATCCCTATCAGTATCAATCAGATTAAAAAAGCCAGACCCCGAAATTGAGAGTGTTAAAAACTATGGAAAACAATTAGAAACTAATTTAGGAAACTTTCTTTATACTAGGTAAGTTGAGGTATTTTAACATCCATAACTTTATGGTGTAGGCTATAGTTTTGGTAACTAACTGATGAATTAAATACTTTTTTTTGAGGGGGGAAATACCATCCAATGATTCCCTCTTGAGGTGAGGCGAGAGCTACAGTCAGACTCCTACTGACTAAAAAGTAAAAACCATGCCATTCCTACTCCTGCTTCTACCTAGAGCCCTGGTTAACTGTTGAGATATCCACAGCTCCAGGTCGGGCATCAGCCAGCCCTACTGAGCCCTATCTGTGGTAGTTCGATAGCGCTAAGACGCTCACGGAAGGTCTGGTTTTGGTCAGGCGGCGAGCTACCCTTGTTCGCCGTCCGCAGATCCGCGACGAATTAAATACAAAAATATTTAATTTAAATAACCTTTTCTTGTATTATTGTTTCAGATCTAAAATAATAGAAAAGAATTATGCGCTGTGCAAGCTTCACGCGAACTATGGTAAGCTGTTCAGTGAGTGGAGTGTCATAGAGAAAGATATGGGAGATGGGCTGCAGAAAGCGGGACATTACTTCGGTATGTTGTTTTCATTTTTATGGAATACTAGATACCCGCCCCGGCTTCGTACGGATGCAAATGCATTTTATTATACACATAAACCAACGCTAGCGTTGTTTCACGTTTAATCACTTACCCAAGTAACTGTTTGACGAGGATCTCGACTACTTTCGAGTCGCGCTAGGGTCTCATATTCTTTGCAGCATTGCGTGACCACGGCGCGGCAAAGTTCGTACCAGTCTTTAATAGTATAGTACCAACTTGAAGTACTGACATACTGTTACTGGTACCTGGTTTATGACTGGTACCAACCCATTGTTTAGCAGTAATATTTACGGGGAAACAGTTAATTAAACAGTTTCCTACATGGTCCGCAACACATCATCATCATCATCATCAACAGCCTATAAATGCCTACTTCTGGGCTAAGCCTCTTCTCGCACGGAAAAGGTTTGAACATTAATCACCATGCTTACTCAATGCGGGTTGGCTGTTACAAACTTATAATTAGAAATTATAAGTCCAGGTTACCTCACGATGTTTTCCTTCACCGTTTGTCAATGGTGTCTAGATATTCTCAGAACTTGCCGTTGGTAGGTTACGAACCTCATGCATGAGGGTGTCTTTAAACCTCCGTGCCACCACGACATTGGTATTACATCTGGTGAAATAATATTGCAAGTATAAGTCTAAGTAGGCTACGGTCTCCTGTTGTCATAAGGCGGGCGCTAAGCTATTATGTATAGTTTAGAAAACCGTTAAAAGTATTATGTTAACCTTCCTTGACAGACTCGATAGCGGACAGCATAGATTCAGTGGCAGAAGACGAGGAACAGCTGGCGGACCAGCTGAAAGAGTACCTGTTCTACGCCAGCGCACTGCAACAACTCTGTACCAACCATGAGATGCTACAGCGGACCTTGGAGAATGCACAGGACACACTTAACAATAGGTAACTAGAATATCGACAACTCAATTTTTTTTTTTTTAAATTTACGCAGTTATTGCTAGAATAATATTTTGAAAAAGAAAAGACATGTATTTTTCCTGTATTATAAAAATATTTAGTCTTGGTTTTAATATGGAAAATAAATAAGGTATAAATATTTTTTTTATCTTCAGTATTGATTTTTCAGCTCTTATGTTTGTGTTTGTCTATTTATTCGGGAATGTAAAATATGTTATCCCCAATTCCCCAGGATATCTGAGCGTAGTCGCGCGGCGGCAGGCAAGTCCGGTTTTATGTCGCGTTTTTTCGGGACTACAGACCCGGACATTGTACGCGACCAGACCACGCGGGCTCTCGACTCCAAGATTATCTCTGACAAGGACGCCATCGAGAAGGCTAAGACCGATTTAGAGTAAGTAAATATTCTACTTAATACATTATGAATGTGAAAGTTTGTGAGGATGTATGGATGTTTAGTGCCGGAAAAGGACTTAACGGATTGCCGGGGCTCCGGCTCGTAGGGCGGGAGTAGGAACGGAGTGGTTTTTAGTCAGAAAGAGTCTGACACTTCCTCCTGCCTCACCCTGGCGGGAGAATTCGTTAATTATTTTCCCGCCTTAAAAAAATGAATGTTTGGTATTCTTTCACGCAGAAACTACTGGACGAATTTGGATGATATTTGTTACAGAAATAGATTATAGTTTGAAATAGGATATTGCAAAATTAACTGAAATAATATTTGTTTGTTTGTAGAGAATTCACAAAAAAGGCGCAGGTAGAAATAGAATTTTTCCAAAAACAAAAAGACAAAGATCTACACGAGTCGCTCGTTAGCTTTATTACTCTGCAGGTGAAGGCTGCGAAAAAGGTTAGTCTCGACCATTTATTATTTTATAAGCACTATACTTAGGCCGTGATCAATGTATTTTATGCAAACTGACCTGAACGATGTCTGGACAACTCCGTTGCATGTGGTTATTATATCATACCGCCGCCCGCCATTTAGCTGTATTGAGTGACAATTCTCAGTGACAACAAAATAAAATTACCACAGAAAAGTGGTGCGCTATTTGGTGCGCTCAGACAAAATTATACACTCACATCGATCTTGGCCTATATAGCGAGCGAGCGTTACTTGCGAAGTTACGGAAGATATCTCTTCGTAAGAATCAATGTAACAACTATTTGATGACGTTTGAATATACACTTAGATCTTAGAATATCCTATGCATGTGCTTACTACGTAGCTCATAATCAACGGATGAGTCGAAATATAGTACATAATATATTCTATCTGTTTACTTTCCAGAATCTCCAAGCGTGGACCCAGATCAAGGAATGCCTGCAAAACATGCCGTAAGCCCCACCAAAACGATTTTATACCAAATGTACCTTGTGCTCTATGTAATAAAACTCTTTTTCTATCTCAATTTGTAAGTTATATTTGTGACGTTCCAAAAATGTGTAAGTTTTTATTTATAAAAATAATCAACTTTGTAATATAATTAGTTAAAGACGATATTTATTTGGATATTTATAGAAATTATGAGTTTATTACGTTGGGTTTGATGCTGACCAATCACAGAGTTTGTTTTAGTTCAATATTTTTGTCACAAATAAATGTGATAACCGACATCAAGACACAAATTCAATGCCAGGCCAAAGCATTATTGAATTTTCTTATAATTGGCGAAAAGCGGAAGTATTGAAGACTTGAAGCGTATCGTTTCAACATCAACAAACTCGTATTTTATTCATAATTCGATTGTTTTAAACAAATAACAAGAAAGAAGATTGAAGATAGCACTATGTGTAGCACTAGAAAGCACGCAATGTGAGTAGGCAGAGCTTATGGTAAATACACGAGCAGACAATGAAAAGCATTAGTAGTTTGTGCATGATAGACCAAAATTGTAGGTTATTCATGGTAACAACAGTCAGGGCAGAGCCGTATTATTATGCTAGAGGCAAACTAGGCAAGTGCCTAGGGCGCCAAGTTACAGACGGAGGCCAATGAGGTACTTGCCTAAGGCGCTGTTTAAGTTTAATTCGCGTCCGTCGCAGGAATATTCTAATGATGGCTAGAAATGTCCAATAACTGTAACTGGCAATATTTAAATTACAAAATTCTCTATTAGTGATTAATTCACACGCAATCATTGAAGTTAGGTGTTATTAAATATTTAAATATATAAAAAGGGGCAAAAACTTAATTGTTATTATTGTACCTACTGACTAAAAAGTGTCGTAAATATTTTGAAAACCTACTCAATTTTGGAATGATACTTAATTTTACGTCACTAGACAACGTGGATTCCACTCACTATTTTTGAAAAATAACGGTGTTTTATAGCTAGCTAGCAATCATCTATCATAGATAATATATTTCAATTAAATTTTCTTGAAGTGACTGCAATCGTTATTGTAATAATAATAATAATCACTGAGTTTTGTTATTACATCGAATTATTTGTTATTTAAATATGTATAGTTTTCTGTAATTAAAATATTTTCAGAATATACAAGGTGTTGTTTTAAAGCCGCGTCATTTTCTAGGAGGGTAACTCGGCTATCGATTCTGAGTTCGAATCAATAAAAAAATTGTAGGTAAATATTTTTAATTTTTCTGTAAATTACGGAAATCCGTAAGTGCGAACTACACACCGCCGTCTTGTAACTAGTTTTATAACACAAACTCAAACACGTAATTGATATTATTCCTAATTCCATAAAACTCCAATAAGAAACATTGCTGTCGCTTATTCTAAAATACTATCGAACTCAAACGATTTATTATAACCGTATTTTTAACTATTAGCCCGAAACTTTCTCTTACATTGAACCTTTATGACTTCTGTGACATGCCCCCGAGAAATGCCACGGTTTTAAATCTACACCTTGTATATTTGAAGACTTAATCTTATATAGAATTTTAATATATATTCAATACCAACATGTTACCCATTCCATATCAATATGTTTATATATCTGAGTATACAAAATAATATTATGTAAGTAATACATATTCGCTTTTACTTTTATCAACCGCTTGTGAACAGAGTCAGATTAAACACATCTATTGTCTTCTGAATGAAGTTCAATGATAAGTTCTCGCATATCTTTTGAAGAGAAAGATTCCTAGTAGCACAGCCGTATTATCACTAAGGGAAGCTAGGCAAGTCCCTAGGGCGTCAGGCTACAAAAGGGCGCTGCGAGATACGCGTGCCCAACCGCCAAAACAAAAAGTAGTGCCAATGAGGTGCTTGCCTAGTGCGCCCTTAATGTTGTATCCAACTCTGCCTTCCTACGGAATCGAGGATGCTCACTTCACGCAAACCGTTCCAAAGGCTTTAGTACAAGTTTGATTTACGTTTAAAGTATTCGAAACGAGTACGCGTTCGGCACTCTGATTGGTCGGCGCCAATGAACCAACCAATCACAGCGCCGAAAGCGTACTCGTTACGATAACTTTAAACGTAAAACAAACTCGTACTAAAGCCTCGTCACCATCAGTATCGAAAGAAAAACAACTAAAATTGGTAATGACATACGTTTTACGGAATTTCTACCAAAACTCGATCCTCCACACATTTCGGATTAATTTCGGACCTAATGACATGTTCTTGTTCACAGGCGGGTGGTGTATATATATATTAATATTCCATTTTTTAATGTATAACACCTAAATGTTCAAATAACGTGTATTGAGCTCTAGGGGCCAATAAGAAACGAGCGAAAAACATGCGTTTGTGCAGAATAATCGAAAATTTCGGAAAATGTGTCGAATCTTTACAATTTAGGTACCTAAACAATTATTTATATTTTTTTCTAGTGTTGCTCTATAATAAAACTTTTAATAATAATTTTAGGCTACAAGAGCGTTGGCAGATTATTAATTTTTATAATAGAATCCATTGTACGAGTCGAAACATTTTCTGAATTACTATCGCGCCTTTATTCTAAATTCTAAGCCTTTAGATAAATACAATACCATGTATCATACCTAGACATATGTACGTAACCATTTTAAATAAAAAATATTTAATTTTATCTACCTTTCACTCGAATGTCCAGAAATCCAAAGATTCAATGAGAAATCATCGTTAAGAAATACAACAACATATTAAAAAATTCAAAAAAAGTAATTAATTGCTGGGTTTTAAAAATAATTGGTAGCACGGAGTCTGGAATTGTGCCCGCCCATTATATGGCAATAGGCTCACCCCCTATTACATGGGACTCTTAACATAAATAGTGGAAAGTGGGTGTTACGTTGTACAGTGGCATTAAGTGCCGTAATGTGCACCTCTGCCTACCCCTTCGAGGATAAAAGGCGTTTTGTTATGTTATGTATTCAGTGCTTATCTCAAATGAAAGTTCAGCTCTTAAAATTATGGCAATACCAAGTATCACTGTAATAGACATGCTGTATATAATCTACAAAAGTTTCAACTAACACGGTAGCCTAGTAAATATAATATGATGGCAATGAATGTTAAGAGAATCGATTTGTTTCTCCAGGTCATGCTCAAAATAGACTTCACAATTACTCCGGGCTGCAGACAGTGGCAAGATTTACCGGTGCATCAGTTTGAAGCAGGAGTTGAAATGAAGTGGCTTTTAGTCAGTAGCTCTGACTCTAGCTCTCGCCTCACCCAAGGCGGGAGTTAAAACCATTTAATCATTATCCCTCCACAAACGCACGCAGTCTTTTATGTTTATTTGTAATAATATATTGCCTAATATATTATAGACCCCAGAAACATAATCAACAGTCCATAGCACTGCACTGATGAACTATAATTAATAGACATTATATTTTATTTATTACTTCTTCACCAAAGATGACATTGAATGGCGGACTTAATGCCTTAAGGCATTCTCTGACAGTCAACCATAGGGAAGTGCAGAGAAATGAAGCGGTTGATGCGAAGCCAGAAAGTCGGATGTGGGTGACATAATTATGAAATAATCTAGTTTACTATCAATAATAATACTTTCTGTGGCTTTTGTATGAAAGAGTGTTGTTATACATACAACCTTAAAAATTTTCGCATTCAGTACTTAATATTAGGAAGATGAAGTGTGTTTACGCTTAGAGGATATAAAAAAAATTCTGAAACCCCTTTTTAACTAGGTACTTACCTACGTTGATAGGTTCAAAGTTTTTTCCGAATGTAAATTTTTAATTACAGCTTTAAGGTAAATAAGGTCTTTTTTTTACGGGGGGAAAATCATCGAATGACTGCTCCCGCCTGGGTGCCTCACCTCAGGCGGGAGCAGTCATTCGATGGAAGGGATGGATGGGAGGGAGTGTCAGACTCTTACTGACTAAAAGCCACCCCGTTCCTTCTCCTGCACGTCGAGCCGGAGCCCCGGTAACCCGTTAGGTTCTCCACGACATAAATAAGGTCTAGTTGCGGTCTGTATCTACTATGTCTAGCTAAAAACTAGTGTTTTAATTCTAACTACCACATCTCTCTGACAGTCAACCATAGGGAAGTGCAGAGAAATGAAGCGGTTGATGCGAAGCCAGAACACAATAAAAAGAAATAATTAATATTAAATAATATGCATACGACACACATAAAAACCTACACAATAAATATAACCATATGGATACATTATAAATCTAAATAGACATACTACATTATATATACTGCTAAACTAATACTTATACCTATTACATAAATATTACAATATGTTAAAGGAAACTTTGTCAAAAATTACATTAATACCACGGTCTCACAGAAAACCGATAAGATACAACACTTGCGTTGTCTTGTTGTTTCGTCATGAGAAACACAACGCATCTCCTCACCAGTCTACCCAATCCCAGAATCCCCAACGATCCTTAAATTCCTAATCCCCAGAAGGCCGGTAACGCCCTTGCAACACCTCTACAGTTATGGGTGTCCATGTACGGCGTCTATTGCTTACCATCAGGTGATCCGACAGCTCGTTTACCGGCTTATTCTATTAAAAAATGTCAAGGACAAAACAAAGTTTTATGTCATTCTAACAATCCGATCAATACAAGAACTGCGAGGTGCAGTGCAGAGTTCCCACGATTACAAAGAAAAACCTTAATAAAATATTAATGTTATGCGGTAGTCGTATTAGAATCAATATACTTACTCGTACCTACAATAAAAAGTTGCTTGAATTTTTTCACATTCCTAATAAATGTTTCGTTAGAAATTCTGAGAAATCTTCGGATGTGGGTGACATAATTATGAAATAATCTAGCTTACTATCAATAATAAATACTTTCTGTGGCTTTTGTATGAAAGAGTGTTGTCATACATACAACCTTAAAAATTTTCGCATTCAGTACTTAATATTAGGAAGATGAAGTGTGTTTACGCTTAGAGGATATAAAAAAAATTCTGAAACCCCTTTTTAACTAGGTTGATTGTACCTACGTTGATAGGTTCAAAGTTTTTTTCCGAATGTAAATTTTTAATTACAGCTTTAAGGTAAATAAGGTCTTTTTTTTACGGGGGGAAAATCATCGAATGACTGCTCCCGCCTGGGTGCCTCACCTCAGGCGGGAGCAGTCATTCGATGGGAGGGATGGATGGGAGGGAGTGTCAGACTCTTACTGACTAAAAGCCACCCCGTTCCTTCTCCTGCACGTCGAGCCGGAGCCCCGGTAACCCGTTAGGTTCTCCGCGACATAAATAAGGTCTAGTTGCGGTCTGTATCTACTATGTCTAGCTAAAAACTAGTGTTTTAATTCTAACTACCACATGGCAATGTGGTGGCAACCAGTCCGTTCACACGTACATAATTGCCGGCCAGCGATGTTTTACTTATCGATTCCATGTGCTCCAAACATTGTGGCTTGACCATGCTTTTTTTATTTCTGATGAAAAATTATTATATGAGTTAATGTGGTTAAGTTTCCACATTGGACGACCACTATTAGGTAATATAATATTATGTTTATAAGATGAAAGATGGAAATTTTTATGGTACCAAAAATTCAGCAAAAGTTTAACGATTTTTCCCTTTAAATATAACAATCTTATTTTTTTTTATATCTTTTTGATGAGTCGACATTTAACCACTATCTCGCCTGGTGGTAAGCGATAATGCGGTCTTCGATGGATCACGTCATCCCATAACATCCTATTCACTCGGGCCTTGAAGACACCTAGGTCACCACACCCTTCAGGAAATACAGACTCTGGAAAATAATTCCACTCCTTAGCGGTACGCACAAGGAAGCTTGATGCGAAGCGCTTCGTGCGAATGGGTGGGACATCTACCTTGAATCGGTGATTGTACCGATTGTCATGTGGTACGATGATGGAAAGGACAAGGCGGAATCAAGTTGTGCATGTTATGTTAACGTTTACAGCCGCTGTTCATCAAATCCTTCATTTAACCAACCTACCAAGTCAAAAGCAATATCTACTCAACTGGTGCAAAGGTACTCAAGTTTTGTAGATAATCTTAATAACTCCTTGACACACTTTGAAGTACATAATGTCAACAAATATCTGTTCGAATTCGCAGTTATTTATCAATTCTAAGATAACTTCAAGGAAAGATTCTGATACAGTTACTACCTACGTATACTACTTATGCCTTCTTATTTATATTGACATTAACGTCATATTATATTGCTATAGATGCATGTATAGTACCTAAAAGTTCTCAGTTGCTATTTGGCTAACCAATTAAGTAACAGGATAAGAAGGATAAACTGCCTAACCTGTACCGACCTACCTTAGGTAGGTATTGTTCCTCCCTGGTTGCTCCAAGGTGACTGTACTGAGATGTCGTTGTACGATTGTGATCTTGTAACTATTGTGCAACTTAAAGATACTGAGAGATGACATTGTTCAGTTTGTAAAGATGTTGTCAAGTTGGCGCATTGTCAAGTTGGCGCATGTACAGTCTGCCTGTCAGTATCTATTTGGTATACCGCATACAGGTACAAAATTTTATATCTTATACTTTTTTTTTTTTAAATAAAACGTTGCCCCACACTAGGATTTTCTCCTGTGTCGTGGGTGCGTTTACAAACATACAAGTTCACATACACAATGACACCTAGACACGAAACAACAATTTGTGGATCACACAAAGTGTTGTTCCGTGCGGGAATCGAACCCGCGACACGTTGCACGGCAGCCGGTTGCCCAGCCACCGCACCAACCGTGCAGTCAATATTGTTATATAAAGCGGAAGAGTTTGTTTGTTTGTTTGAACGCGCTAATCTCCGTAACTAAAAGTCTGATTTCAATAATTATTTTTTTGTTGGATAGCGCATTTATCGAGGATGGCTATAGGCTATAAAACATCACGCTACGACCAATAGGAGCTGAGCAAAGCGTATGAAACCGCGCGGAAGTAGCTAGTAAATAATAATTCAGTACAGAGACAGTACCTAACCGTTACTACTGAGCCGGCCAGTGAGGACAATACAAGTGAAATGGTTTCATATCATAATTTAGCGTAACAATAGCTACCGCTTTTGTATTACGTGAATCTTTATTTTCTTACCAGTATCCCAAATAATAGAACAGACTGTAGCTTATTCTGAGTGGAACGAAGATATTCATGAGTTATTTTTTTTTATGGCGTAAGCCGGTAAACAATCAGACGGATCACCTGATGGTAAGCAATCGGCAATATGTCGTGGCGGCCCGGGGGTTAAGACACTTCTCACGCATGAGGGTACGAGTTCGAACACCTACCAACGGCAAGTACCAATGTGACTTTTCCGAGTTATATGTAAGTACTTAAATTATCTAGACACCACTGACAAACGGAAAGCATTGTGAAGAAACCTGGGCTTATAATTTCTAATTTTAAGCTTTGTAATCGCCAACCTGCATTGAGCAAGCGTGGTGATTAATGCTCAAACCTTCTCCGTGTGAGAAGAGGTTTTGCTCAGCAGTGAGCATTTATAGGCTGTTGATGAAGCAATCGGCGCCGCTCATGGACACCCGAAACATCAAAGGCGTTATCAGTGTGTTTTCGGTCTTTTGGAGATTGTTGGGGATTCGAAGGGCCCGGGGGATTGGCCTCTGGTAACTTCACTCACACAACGAAGTTGACAAGCTTTTGTAGTTAGTGCGTAAGTCCGTAGATAGGTACCTATTTCATATTCTTACATGATCTACGCAGATAGAATCTGTATATTAATAAGTAATGAAATTGCTGAATAAATACCGAGTGTTTTCCCGAGCATATAGTAACAAACACGCTAGTCTTGGACATGGATTTTAATGCTCACATCTGAGGAATCCTCTTAAAATATCGAAATGATTTTTTATAACCATGTTACTACATATCAAAACAAACACGACGCGTTTATTATTTTATGAAGTTCATAAGATGTCGAGCCACTGAGAGAATTAGAGCAGCGCGCTCATATCGGACGTCACCCTCTTGAAACGACTTCCAGTCTGATAACTTAAGAAATCTAGACGTGTAACTAGAGAACAGTAACAATATATTACGAATTCAATAGGTACCTATATTAAACCTTGTACTGTTCACCAATCATGGATACCTATTTGTGATAACAAATATCTTGGTTGCTAGTTTAACAATTATTTGTATGTTTAATTTTTGCCTTTATGTAAATTCCGGATGCCTTACTATCATTGAACGTAAGGATAAAAGTGAAAGATACTTTTAAATTAGGTAAGTACTCGTATCAGCAAAATCCCAAGATTTATTTCATAAAAGAAGTTCCTAAAGACACAGACCAAAGTTGGCCACCTCTGTCTGCATCAATTATTCGTGAATCGTCGTCCACATTGAATCGATAGAGAAATGGGTCACTGTCATAAACACAGCCGATACTTACGGACCATTACGCGCGGTCATCAAAGCAGAACGTATAAATCACTTTATTTTCGAACCACACGTAAACAAAAAATATTGATAAAAAACTGATTTAATCCAAATAAAAAAGGCTTAAAAATGAAGCACCAGCAAGTTAGTGTGGATTACTGGGCGATGCTGAAGTCTATGCTAATGTATGGAGTACTGACTGCGCTGGGCTGGTTGATGCTGAGACTCTTCAACGCTGTCTTCTCACTGCCACGGAGATTGAGGACCCAGCAAGAGAATATACAGGCTACCTTAGAAGAGTTCCAGGTAGGTTATACGTACCTAATGAGACTCGACTTAGATTTCAGATAGATCTATTAAGTAAGTGTTAGAACTAAAAGTGATCCTCGACAACCCAAAATCTTTTGTGCAAAACATGATGGTTTTAAGACAGTAAAAGTCAGACAACTCCCTTCTTTTCCCAGACGAAGAGGTTTCATATGAAGAGTTGTACAAAGTCAAAATCCTCATATAGGCTCTATCAAAACGTTAACATTTAACGTTTTTTAATGTCCTGTCAGTTGGTTTGTAAGTTAAGCTAGAAAGATACCTACTCGTGCCAAAATGTGAATTCGTATGGAGAGTACCTGCTTGCAGCCTACAGTAACCTTCAGGAGTAATCCTGAGACCAAAAAAGTAGAAAACGTATTGCAAATCACGCGCGTCATATGCCTATAATACGAAAATAACGAAGCACATAATTGCGTAGTTTCTTAATATCAATATTTTGCAGCGACGATATCCAGATCTGAACGTGACAGAAGATGACATAAAAAATGCTGAGAAGGAACTGGAAGAATGGAACAAAGAAATGGAAGAAAAACTTAATAATAAAGAACAAGAAGCAGGCAAAACTAAATGTGAGATCGATGGCATCTGTGAAAAGTGTGATGAACCAATCGGAATCCCCCAAGAAGGTTCAGAAGACAAGAAAACTAAATAATGTCTAGCAAATAAAGTACTCAGACATTTATCCTATATGTTTACTAGAGATAGATAAAGTATTCATAATATACCTAATATAAGAAAGATTCATTATTTATTGAATAAGTAGATAAAATAGTTATTGTTCTACGAATCATTCTACATTGCATTGCAAATAATATTTATATCAATGGTGTAGAATAGTCGCAGAATAGTGATAGATAATACTTATTATTAGGTTTATAAGTACTATAAACACAATATTTTATATTAATACATAGTCATCATATATACGTACAAACATTATGTTTACTTTTAAGTCGCGTTCTTGCCAATTATTAACTTTTATAGTTCCGATCATAGTTTCTGCACTTGTCAGATGGCACCCTTGGCGATATTAAGTCGACTGGGTTCAATAGTTCAACTGCAATGTTCATGGGCGCTAAAAACAATAGATTCGTCATTGTAGGATACTTGTAATCTGTTAAACATTGCGAAATGAATTTAAGTGTTACAAGACTAATTACATCAGCCGTATTAAACTATAATTTTTACTAACATAGGTGGGTAATCTAAGCAATCTTCATAAAACTCAAATACTCAGCCACTCAGCCTTATCTATGCCCATAACATCGACTTATAAAGTGCCTATCACAGTACTTTAGTATCTTTCATAGTACTTTTGTATTCTTTATTTATTGATAGTACGTAACGAAGATTCACTTCTACATTTATTTATCAATTATATCCTTATTTACACAATTTGATGTTTTCTTAAGATACTGCGCAAAGTTTATTTTTAGATTATTATTTTCTTTCTTAATGCAAACATTTGTGATTGTGATGCATTTGCGTTTATACTAAAAAATCAAAAGTAGATAAACATGCTACGTGACAGATGACGAGTAGCAGGAAATGTCATGATAGTCAGGATGACAAGTTTAAAAAAATAATAAGTTTTACCCGTTTTACCTGAATAAGTTCCATGTCATGATGTTTTGATACGACAAAAAATGTACAAATGCATTGTTAGAGAGCAATTAGGATCAAATTATAGGGGTTCAGAGTCAAAGTCAAACCTTGTCCACAGCATAATGCACACACATACACACAGTACTTGAAATATTTAATAAAAAGACGCGCGCGAAAACACGCGAATGTGCGCGTCAATGCAATGAGCGTTTGTAAAGTATTCAGGGTACTGTTGTTCCGCGTTCATCTAACAACCTACTGTGTCTCAGTTGTGCGTACACATAGTAAAAATGAAGTCATGCAACTTAAATATCATAAAACAAACCTGTCTCTACTGGACTTATTATTCATGACTAATCCACGTATGTACAAAAACAATTGTCATCATTGCAAATGCGAATTAACTACTAAACATTATTTCAATAATGTTAATAATTAAGTAATTAGGTACATTATACCAACCTCCATTAGTTTTGTGGTCTTCTATCCAAAGTTGATACTTATCCAATCAGGATAATCTGGAATGTTAGCTGTATTTTCACCCAGTGCCTCAAAAAGCAAATTAACCTGTTGGTCCTGGACCTAATTTTCTTTTATTTGTATGGGATCCGGCTTTTCACATTATTTAATCGGGAAGATACTTAATAGTTTCTTAGAGGTTGGTAACTACAGAGTTTTCAATTGAAAAACATAATAGTGATCATATTAATTACCGTGGAACATATACAATATACCGAGAAAAAAAGAGTCTACTCGATTCGAGCCAGAGAGATGCTCTTTCTTATGAGCAGCGTGCGCGGTCGCGGCGTTCCCGCAACCCACGTATATTACTCGAGCTATACTTATATTCACGTGAATAACCAGATTTTTAGTAAATAATAGTGATCATTGCCAGACTAGAGAGAACCAAAACCGCGCTCAGTAGGTAATCACTGAACTATATGAATTATAGAA